CGCCTGTTGAATTCTGCCAGCATATGCCATTGCTCTGGTAAACAAGATGGTCTTCAATGGGCGTCAACAATTCCAACTACCAAATTTCATACAATTTCATTCTCCTTTCTAACCATAATCCAGCATTTTTCCATAATAAAAAATATACTCCACCAATAAAACACACACATTTTGCTAGCTATGCTATGAAGACCCTGCTCCATTTTACATGTGAATTTATTCAGATAAATGATTCCTTAAAATGTTTACCCTGAACAATTCCTACCCTCAATTCTTTCTTCTCCTGAATCTTTCAAAAGCCCTAAGTGGCAGTTTGCAAGCAATTTGTCATTCTCATCCAAAGTTGTCCACTGCACTAATCTACTCAGATCCTGTAACTGAGCAACTTGGGGGTAACGCTGAAAACTTTCCCGTTGCCTAGTGGTGCCTAGGAACTGATTTTGTTTTTTCTCTACTGAGACACAGCCGACTTCAGCTCTAATCCTCCAGCTGTTGTACGGGTGAATGGGGTCACACGTTCTCCCAGAATGCCCCTGGGCTACTCCGGGCAATCACGCTCTGCCCAGCTGTCTTTGAGAAACTTGAAGTTCTGGGAAGAAGAGAAGACTCTTGTCAGACAAATGGGTGGTGGTAATCCTGGAGAATCAGGGCAGCAGCAGAGATGCCACCACCATGGCACATGTGACAGTGGCATCAGGACCTTCCCATAGCTTCACAGAGGTGAGGCCTCCAAAGGTCAGAGTAAGACATTCTGCCTTTTCCCAGCCTGATTTTCATTTTTTGAAATTCCTCACCAGACAACTCTTTTATAGGACTCACACTGCCAGCCTTAACAGTTTGTGGATCCAGTAACCAAAATATGTGATTTGAAACTCCCCCAAACAAGAATCTGAGCCACTATGTAAGATGGGGAACAGAGACACCCGAGGTGAGCAGTGCCATCTGCGTCCCCTCCACTCTGTGTTTGAAGTTTAGTGAGAAAATACGCAGCACCTAACTAGACAGAAGATACTTCCGCTATCTAAACAAATCAGTTTTGCTGCTAACTCCCTGTGTGATGCTGACTTAAGCCTTCCTGGGTCTCAAGTGTCTCATCTGTAAAGAGGTTGAAGCCTTTTCACTGTCAAAGTCTGGGAGACGAGGGCAAAACCTGGACAGGAGTCCACAGGCCACATACTGCCATGGAACCGGTGACTCCATCTTGACAAGCCTACAGTTTATTAGCATAAACCCCCTGCCTCCTCCCTATCCCCACTCACTGCCTCCATTCGGCTCGTTTATCTATCCTCTGGCCTAGTGCAATGGTTTTTGTGTGGTCTCTGTGCCTCCAACCCAGTGATTCTCAATCAGGGAGCAATTTGGTTACTCAGAGGACATCTGACAATACCTGGAGACATTTTTGGTTGTCAAGACTGGTGGGGTACCACTGGCATCTACCAGATAGAAGTCTGGGGTACTGATAATCATTGTACAATGCAGGGGTACCACTGGCATCTACCGGATAGAAGTCTGGGGTACTGATAAACATTATACAATGCACGAGCCAGTCCCAACAAAGCATTATCCAGCTCAAAAGCTCAATACTTCTGAGGCTGAAAAAATTGCTCCAGTCGTACCCACCTCTCATCTGCCCTCTGCAACCACAAATGATACAAAACACAATTCCAATCAGGTCATTTCCATGCTTGAAATCTTCCAGTGCCTCCCAACTGCCCCAGGTTAAAGTCTCTCCAGCAAGTCATGTGAGACCATCATGATCTGACCCTTTCCCAACTTTCTGCCTCACCTCTCACTATTCCCCTCACCCCTTTTCCCCAAAGCCACACAAGAAACCAATACAGGCAGACCAGACCCCCCACAACTCCCTCTGCCTGTCAGTCTCATCCATTCATTCCGTGGCCCACCAATTTTATGTCAGACATTCTAATGACACTAAAAGGGAACAAGATGCTCTCCAGGCAGCTTGAGGCCCTGGTATCTCATGAGGCGTGGAGGAAAATGAGCACACAATTCAATCAGCAAAGGCAGAGCCTCTGTAATCCCACTGTCATCTCCCCAATGAGCTTGTGAGCCTCCAAGGAAGAGAGTGTCTTCATCAGGACACAACAACTTGCACATGCTAAGTGTGGTCTACCAGTTGTACACATTATCTTTGTCATAGCTGTGCTAAGGAATAGATGAATTTCTAGCCTCTTTCCATTTGGCTCTTGATCAGAAATAAAAAGTTCTATAGTATCAAAATCCAAAGATGAAGCAAAATTCATTACACTGTATGTACCCAGAAACACAGCCCATCCACAAAGGTGGAAACATCTTTGTTTAAAGCTGTATCATTCTTGGCCTCTCTTCTCTTCCTGTATCTGAAAAGTATAGATCTGTAAAATGAGTATTTATCTCTATGGAATATCTGAATTCCATTGCCTGTCACTCAAAGATAAGACACATGGAGCAGAATCTGACTGTCAAACAGTAACCCAGATATAATGCTATCAAAAGTACAGGGCTAGGTTCACTATGGGAATCACAACTTTGAACTTCATGGTACCTAAGATAACTTTGCTGTCTTCTCTAGACTGGGAATTTTGGTCTATCTACTGGACATTTAACAATACTGTTGTTTCTACTTTTTTCCCTTTTAAGTCAATTCTATATTCTGGAGGTTATGATTTGCCTGAGTTTCAAAACCTACAAAGATGTCCCATGAAGGGATGGATCTTTTAGGAAAAAAAAAGTTTTATTAGACATTTATAAAGTTATTTTGGACTTTTTGAGAAAAATACCTATCAGTTTTACTGTATAGCTGATGAAAGAATTTAAGATTCTCCCTTAAAATTACTAAAAAAGTTTTAAAGGCTACCATAGTGGACTCCATGTGGAGTTCTACCATATGTCATAAAATGTTTGTATTTTTAATGCAATTGTTATAATGTATGCATCCCTTGTTCACACCACTGTTGTGTTAAAGACATGTTAGCAGTTAGTGTGGAACCGCATTATAGGAAATGGAGCAAAGCAGAAGTTTCTAACTGAATGGGGTGTAGGGTCCAGGAGAAAATGTGTCCAGTTGCCCTTCAAGTACAGGGGTTCCTATGGCAACAGTAGCCTGGCTTCCATATCTCCATGGTAACTGTTCAACCTGTCTGGTCTTCCAACTTTTCCCCATCTAGGTTTTCATAGTTGCAGACAAAGCATAGTCACAGGCCCATGCTTGGGTTGTTCTTTCAACCTCCCCCTTCTCCATTCAACCTTGGGATAATCAGGACCTCCAGGAAAAGTGATTCCCACTCAAACCAATATGCTAGGCATTTGGGAGGAGTGAAAGCTGCTTTTACTTCACTTGAAAAACATACAAAAACAGAGAAGGTACTGAAAAATGTAGACAAGCAACATGTACCCAGTGACCCTAAAATTAAGTGCAAAAAATTAATTTAAGTGCAAAATTAATTTACTCTCTGTTGAGACAGAGAGTGAAGACCATTAATTATAGCAAGGCTGTCCTCATTATCATCATCTTGTGGTTTAGTTGGGAACAAAGGTGTCCCCTAAGACCCTGTCCTTTGTATTGTGCACGCTTGTCTTCCACCCATGGTATTTTGGGCATTCAGTTGCCCAGTTCTAACCATTAAAGCTTTCTTTTCCCCAGGAAAAGATGGACAAACTCTTTACACTTCAGTGTGAATTAGCTATCTCTCCCCCAAGGGTATTTGCATCACAAGCCATATTCCTATTATGAACTGAAAAGTTTTCCCTATGGAAATAATTCTTGACTTAAAGCTGCAGGTGAAGGTGATCTTTTGGGGACAGGGTGGCCCTCTCTCTCGAAACTAACTGCCCAGTATCGAGATTTTAAATGATGAAACCAAAAATCACATAAAGTTAAGGAAAGGCATGTTATGTTCATAGTCAAGGTTCCAATAACTGTATTTTGGGTACATTGTTTTTTAATTTACTTTGAAATTAATACGAGTGTGAGATTTGCCTTACCAGTAACCACAGCAAGCAAGTATGGTGGGATTCTTTCCAGAAGTAAGTTCTTAAAAGTACAAAAAATCATGCTAAGTGAAATAAGCCAGTCAGTGAAAGAGAAATACCATATGATCTCACTTCTAAGTGGAATCTAGTGAACAAAATAAACTAGTGAGCAAAATAAAAACAGAGGCATAGAATCATGGAATAGCCTGACAGATGTAAGGGGTGGGGAGTGAGTGAAAGAAAGGGAAGGGATTTGTCAAAGAACATACAGGAAGGACCCGCAGACATGGATTGACTATGGAAGTGGGGGGCTGGCTGGGAGGGGCGAAGGGGGGAAAACTGGGACAACTGTAAACATGAACAATAAAAAAAGCCCAGAAGTACGTATATTATAGTCTTTAAAAATATAAGAACTTTTGTGTTGAAGTAGACTCTACATATTTAGCTTGTAGACAAGAACTTATGGAAAAGGGAATAAAAGGCTGGGGAAACACTGGAACAGAAAGGGGGTGACAAGTGTGGAGACACTGGTGGATTATTCTTTACAACCACTAACGTAATTGTGATAACAGTCAAGAACTTTACCTTCCAGTAGAGCTTTCTGCAGTGACGGAAAAGTTCTCAGTCTGAGCTATCCAAACTGGCAGCCATTAGCCATGTGTGAATACTGAGCATTGGAAATCCAGCTCATGTGGCTGGGAAACAAAATTTCTAATAGCAATTCATTTAAACTTAACTTTCAATAGCCACACACAGCTAGTGGCTACCATATTGGGTAGCACAGGTCTATTACTGCTGCTTTAACATGTAATTTCAGGGATGCTTTGTACCAGTGAACTCTCTAGGAGAAACTGATAGAAGTCTCAATACAATGCAGTCTTCCAGCTGCAAACAGCTTATTTACTAAAAACACAGTTTATGACTCACCCCAAACCCCACCCCAACCATTACCCAGCGTACCCAGAATTGGTGCCTTGCTCATTCCTCCAGGGTAAGCCTGCAACGGTGGCCTCTGGAAATGTACTTACCCTCACCCAGTGGAAGGTCCTCTTCCTGCTCGCTGGGGGAAGGCAGCAAGGGCTGCAGGGGCTCCATGTTAATGATGAGTTGCTTGTTCAAGGAGTACGAACTACGGCTCTGGGCAATGTTGGCTCTGAAAACAGACACAAGCCAGATAGAGTTGGTTTCTATCGCAAACACCAGCCCCTCCATCTCAGTCGGCTACACAAGCTGGGAACTGCCTCTAGACTCTCACAATGGGTTAGGCCAGTGAAAGGTGACATTACACTGAAGACACATAGCCCTTTTTCTCTTAAGGCCCTGACAAAATATCCATGTGTTCTTAGGCAACATAGAAAAAGAAAGTGCATCTCCTCGTATGTCATGAGACTTGGGCAGGCTAGTCGACACCACAAGCATTTGAAAAAGACACAGGAGGCAGGTATCATTGAAGTAAACACAGAAAAGTGAATAAAAAGCATTCACAGAATGCTTTATTCACAGAAAAGTGAATAAAAAGCTAACGTAATAATCACACACACACAACCCCTACCAGGCAGATGGCACAGGTGTTTCATAGCTATGAGCTATGGCACTGGCTGTCCAACATTTCATAGCAATATTTAATATCCCCATTCGAACTCACACCCCAATCACCAACCAGCCACAGAACCCAGCTCTGCTTTCTCCATTTGAAAGGAACACGCACACATGTCAGTGGCTGTGTCAGGCAGCAGATGGCCAGGAAACCATGCAGGTGTCTCACTGAGACTATTGGCTGGCAGCTGGGAAGCCCATATACACTGCCAGCTGCAGGGGACCAGCTGTCTGGCCTGACAGAGAGAGTAGTGGGGCACCTCTGGTGGGTGTTTTGGCATCCTTCCTTTCCCTATGGTGTCTGTCAAAACCAAAACCAACCCATCCCTCAAAGATGGTATCAATGTCTCCTTCCCCTTCACACCCTCCTAAATTGGCCTCACAACACACTCTTCTGTTCTCTGCTCACTCTACTCTCCCTTCTTCTACAAGTCACCGCATTTGTCACCTCTGTCTCTCTGTAATTATGGTTGAACTAATCCCACTGAGCCCCACCTTGATAAACTCCTTAAGGGCAGAAACTGACCTACCCATTCTAATCTGCCTTAGAGCACCTTAAGTGGTACCCTGCAGTGTTGTTCAGGTTTGAAACTAATTGCAATCCTAGCTTCACGTAATTGCCATTTCAGACTGGCCAGAGTTCCTCCAGGACTGTTGACAGGACTGCCTCCTACCCTAGGCAGAGTTTCTGTTGGAGGGGGGGCGCTTCAGGGAAGGGGGGCGTCAGGGAAGATTAGGATGCCTGTTAGCATGTTGAATTGGAAACCCCCCACAGCTGGCACTGGCTGGAAAGGAAATTTACGAGGTCTTGTTTAACCATGGAGTTCTTTTCTTTATTATTTCTTTCTATAATAACTTACTTTGCAGTACATATGTATTGGGCAGTCTGCCCTGTTCTGGGGAACTGTGGTCCTTGCCTACGTAACTTAACTTTTTTCAAACTTTTTTGACTGAGACCTGCAATAAGAAATACATTTTATATCACCTCTCTGCACACATAAATACATGCACACATGCAGGAAGACACATAACTAAAACAAATGTTTCATGCAGCAATAGTAGCTATTGCTAAGTATGATTCATTGGGGTCTTTTTCTATTCTGCTGCATTTTGTTTAAAGTGCTGGTCTTGACCTCTGTTTTTACTTCATGACTTGTTAATGTGCAATAGCCACAACTGGAAAAACATGCAGCAGGGCGATGGCTAAAGGTGCCATGGGAACACTGAGGGAGGAGCCTGAACCTGCCGTGAGGGAGGAGACACTCAGGACTGATAACCCCATGAGGCAGGCCAGGAGATGCCTCTGGTGAGCACTGCAAGCATGAGGGAGCTCACAAGGAAAGAAGTACAGATGCAAATTCCTTGCAGGGAGAAGGAAGGAGTAAGGAGGGGAGACTAAAATTTCCCATGAGCAGTTCCTTCTTTCATTGTGAATGGTTCCCATTTTTTAAGCTTCCATGGGATTTCCTCTGGACCTGTGGCCATTCACGACTGCAATTCTAGCTCTGCAGAGACATGGCATGTTGCCAGGTTTGAGTCAACCATGTAATAGCTTTCTGACCTCTGAAAAGCTGACCAATCCATTCTCGCACAAACTAGCTCTGAGTTGCTGTGTTTTATTGCTGACCATCCAGGCCAGCTTTGCTGGCAACGGTCCTGTTGCCCAGAACTCACTGCATAAACTATGACAAGGAGGGACTCAGTGATCCTTTATGGAGGGTTTTTGCTTCTCATGACCACTTGCCCCCCACCCCGACACACACACACACACAACACTCTTCATTTGGAGATAGGAAGCATCCTGCTGCTTGCTGCCCAATGTTTCAATGTCTGGGCATTGCCTAGTGCCGGGACAGGCTGAGCTCTCTAGCGGTGACCTCTCAGGTGCACACCTGCTTGGCATTGCATGGTCAAGAGAATGCTGACCTAGACCCTACACTTATAGGCTACTCCTGCTTTGCTGTACCAGAAATCCAAGGCAAGGATCTGGGCTTGTAGGTGCTGCCTAGAGTGAGGGAGATGGCCCCTATGGTGGATTGCAACCCTAAGACTATCCAATTTTATGATTCAGAGATGAACATCACTTCCCTGGAAAGCACAAGATTCAGATAAAACCAAAGGTAGATACAACTAGGCGTTTCCCTGGAGCACCAAGAATCCAGGGCTGCAGACCTCGATACCAGGCACTAGCACAGCTGGAGGGAAGGGCTAAGCAAAATTAGATGAAAATGCAAGTCTCCCACCTTCTCCTACCAACTCCATTAGACTCAAGGTTACCTTTTTTTTTAAATTTTTTCACCTAACTCTCTTCTTGGCTTCAAGAGCCCACCAGCACAGTTGTTCTAATAAACATAACACCAGGAGTCAAATGGGCCTTTTTAGTTTACAAAGTGATTTGTATACCCTGTAAGATAGGCAAGAAAAATACCATATTCACAGATGAGGAACTTGACACTCAGTGAGGTTATGACTTGACTAGAGGCACTCAGATGTGCAGACTCAGGACTAGTCCCGTGCTTTTGCTGTGCTCCACACTGCCTTTCTGCACAATTCATCCTGCAGTGTCCCAGAGGGAACTCTGTCTGCTGCCTCTACTGTCCTGCCATGTGGTGCTATCCAAAGTCCCACCATGTCAGGCAGTTTTCTCAAGAATGTGCCGATATTCCAATCAGCTCCCACCCTGCTGTTTTACCTGAGCTCCTGAGGTAATGGCTGCTCTGGCTGGGGTCTCCCTGGGCCAGGTGAGGGTCCACATTGTGCTTCTCCACTTTCACAATCCACCCATCAGCTGACTATGCAAATACACCTGACCCACTTTGCTGCCCACACATGCGTGTATTCCCAGCACAGAACAGTTTGCAGATAAAACTGTCATTAAGAACTCCACTGAGGTAGGAAGGTTTCCTTTGGGAACTGCAAGTATATTCTAAGATTTGTTTTTAAAATTGATGGCATGAAACCCAGGGACTAAAATGAGGCTCATGGAGTTTCTGCACCATTCTTTGGAATGAAAGAAGTGCTAATGGCCCGGCATCAAAAACTCCATCTGAACAGACTTTAACATGAACGTGTCTGTCAGCTTCTAGCTCCCCATTTTTGGATGAGAGACGATAATGATATTATCACCATCTCACATTGGTATGGCCCTATATAATTTTAAGCACTTAATTTTAATCCCCATAACAAAACCTAGAAGTTGGGCAAAGTAATATTATAAATCTCATTTGACAGATGAGTAAACTTAACCTGGTGATCTAAGAAGTTTGGTGACTTATCCAAGACCATGCAGCTGGTAAGCAACATGGCCAAGATTAGAATCCATTCACCATTCTAATCAGGACAGAACAGAATCACGATTCTGGACAGGGACTTGTTTTAGGTGCAAATGCTACCTCTGGGTGTCCCCTGATGGTGAGTGCTATGCCCAGGTGGCTCACACAGCCCTCCCTGGGCTCACCAGGCCTCTGAGATGGGCAGGTGATTCTCACCAAGTAGCCACTCCAGAGGGCTTTGATTGAGGATCTTGCCAACAGCAAACATCTGTGGACTAAAATTAGAGTTAGCACCTTCTCTTTTTGAACAAAGAAAGAAATATCCCAAGACAGTGTTCTCAGTCTGTCTGCATCAGTCTCTCCCTAAACACACACATCTCAGTAGAAGTAGCAGTCCATGAACTTGTCATTCTTTGAAGAATAGAATCTCAAGTATGAGGAAGGACAGCTAACTGCAGCCTAGTTGTCACCATTCTAGACTAGCAATCATCTCTGAACACCACCAGAGAAAGGGAGCTCACTGCTGTACTCTCACTTTTGACAGCCACATCAAAGATGTTAAAACAATTCAAAAATAAAATAATTGTTCAAGAGAAACAATTTTCTACCACACAACTGGCTACTGGGAAGGAACCAGAAGAGCGACCCACGTGGCCGTGGCTCCTCTTGGGAAGTCAAGGGCTCCAGGGCAGCACCTTGCACAGATCTCAGGTCTCAGAAAATCACAGAGGTGCTGCTGTCATCCCACACTCCTCATTCATGCAACCACTCAACAAATAGGTACTGACCTCCTAGTATGTGCTCAGCCCTGCGTTAGGTGGTATTGGGGAATATGGAGAGCCCAAGAAAGATACAAGCCTTGTCCTCTCACAGATTGCTCTATATCATTAACTTAAATAAGTACATTCTTCCTTGTATTATCAGATTTGAGAGATACTGCCAAAGACCATCCTGAGGATATGAACTCAATCGGCTTCCACATACATATAAAAGGAGGTAGTGAAAGGGACAGGGGGATGCAAGACAGTGTGTCCAGGCCTGCAGCTCCCTGTGTACAGTAATATCCTGGGGGGTTTTAGAAGATTCCCAACAAGGGAAACTATAAATTGATGCCTCATTTCCCATCCCTTCTGGTAGTTCGGTCCACTCCAGAAAAAGCTTTTTTCATGAAGGCCAATCTGCTTCCGTCACCCCCTTTCACCTTCAGCTATCTAGGAACCTGGCCATTTGAGGTGTTAGTCCATGACCCAGCCCCACGGACATCACCTGGGAGCTTGTTAGAAATGCCTGGTTCATGAATCAGAATCTGTTGTAACAGGATCCCCAGGTGATCCCTGTGCAAGTTAAGGTTTGAGAAGCCCTGATCTAGGAAGCCTGAATTCCCATAAATTATGCACATTTCAATTTAAAAGAGAAGCACTTTTTAAGAAGTTCTTTTCTGATCTCATTAACCATCCATAGACTATAACTATGGGACTATTGGGAAACTTCCTGTATTTGGAGTATGTCTCTCTGAGAGTACATTGTTAGAAAGAAACAGTTGCCTATATTGTGTTTGTGCCATCAAGAGAACTCACCAGCACTATTTCTTCTTTTTAAGCTCAAACACTGAAGCTGCAAGTTGAAAGAAGAAAACCAAGCTAAAGTCCTGAGGCAGTCCACCTCCCAGCTTCTAAGAGAATGCCAGAGGCTCTCTGGGTGGCAAATGCTACAGAGAAAAGAGCACAGGCCTAGCCCCCTCCCCAAATTTATGACCTCAGATAAGTCATTTAATTTCTCCTTATCTATAAAGTAGCAGCATCAAACGAGGTGATCCCTAAGGTCATTTCCAGCCCAAAGACACTGGAAAAATTTAAATGATATGTTTTATCATTTCCTCTTCTTTGTTCTGCTGCATTGAGTAACCACGATTTGAGGTGGAAAAAGAGCAATTTTAAAAACTATTATTAAAAATGACTATTGTTGATGGGTGGGCTCTAAGAGCTTCACAGGTATTGCGCCAAGGTGCTCCTCAGCCAAGGTGCTCTGGCTTCCCACCCCACAATTTTCTCCTGCTTCTCAGAGCAAAAGAGAAGCTGGTTTGGCAGATTTGCATGTGACTGCTCCCCACAGGTCATCCACAGCCGGGGATGAATTATTCTCTGTGCCCATCTGCATGGGCTTTCATGCTGACAGCAGTCCTGTCCCCTCTGTGGGAGAGAAGTGACATCTGGACACCCATACCAGGCCAGACTGGCCACACTTCCGAAAAAACAGGAACTCCTCTTGCCCAACAATCCCAGGGGACAAGGTGAGAGGAACCTAGTTCACCTAGTCACCCTGGGGAGAGAGGGTACAGGGCAAATCTGAGCCCCAGGGAAAGTCCTCCAAGTTCAGAGACAGGAAAAAAGGATAGGCACCAACCCGTGTGTGGAAACTTCCTAAAGAACGTAGCTTATGATGATCTTGTCCTCAAAAGGGGAAGCACGATGATGAGAATGTTCATCTTTAAATATTTAGCATGTTGAGGTTTAGGATATATAATGACTTGTGTATGTTGTGGTGGTATGAAGTCCAACACGACCAAGAGAATATTTAATATCTAAGAATTCCATTTACTGCCCCCTTAATGAAGATGTGTAGCCTTAAACAAATAATGACCAAGTAAACCCTCAGGCCTCTAAATGACCCTTGGAATTCAGGAACTCATTGAGATATGAGCACTGCCCCCCCACCCCCCATGTGAAATAGCCTAAAAGGAGTGGGGCTGATGGGAACCAGCCACGTCTGGGGAACAGAGGAACAGAGGGCAGTTCCAAGAGGCCGGAACAATGGACTCAGCCAGGAGATGACACCACCTTGCTTCACACACATCCTGCCTATTCATGTGACGTTCAAGGGCAAATCAAGCCAGTGGTTCTCCACAGACCAAATAACAAAATGGAGCCCAGCTGTGCTCACGCCATGGCCCAGCCAAACCTGCCTGAGAGAGATTTCCGCAACAGGAAGAGTGCCTTGCCTGGAGCCAGGGATGAAAACAACATAGGACCTGGCAGCTGGTGCCCTTACACTCTTTCCTGTTGCAGAGGATTTGGCAAAGCCAGAATTTAAATCCCTCTGTCCATCCCATAAGCCTCCCAGAGCCCTGAAAGTGCTCCACTCACCTGTGCACCTCCGGAGGCTCCCTCTGGATTTTGGAGCTTGCCTCCACCACCTCTTTGGCAACCTTACCGCTGCAAAAGACAAAAGCACACGTCTGTGCACGGACACTCAGAATGGAAGGGGAGGGACGAGCACATGTATGTTTTTAAACCTCACAGTGGTTTGACCCAGCTCTAGGAACCCATACCTCCCCTCCCTCCACAAGGGGAAGTCACTACAGAGTTTGAGGGTGCCCACAAACATAAGAATGAGTGAAGTGGAAAGGGAGGACTGAAACAGGGGCATATGCTGAAGTGCACTGATTTATAAGCAAGACATTCAAATGTAAATGCCTACCCCCACTGCAACCATATTATCAAAATGCAAGCATGCGTACTTACCTATATCGGAATCTACTTCCTTTAAAAAATATCTTGCTGCTTGACACAGTCTTGATCTGACTAGATTTTGCATACCTTTAAGAAAAAGCAAAGCAGACTTGGTGGTGACTTTGGAAAGTCAAAGCGGGATATGCTATAAAGCAGGGGTTGGGGGGGTGTCGAACTCATTTTCACCGGGGGCCACATCAGCCTCATGGTTGCCTTCAAAGGGCCGAATGTAATTTTAGGGCTGTGTAAATGCAACTCCTCCTTAACTAGGGGCAAGGAGCTCGGCATTGCAGCCAGGTAGAGGCAAGGTGCAAGGCCAGATTCGGCCTTGTGTTTGCCACCTGTGCTATAAAGTATAACAATTACATATTTTTGACTGCCAGGAAGAAATGCATTTTATCACGTGAGTTGGCACACACACACTCACACACACATAAACCTGAAAGACAAGTTTCACAAAGGAATAGTTAACTTTCTCTGCATTTGTAATCTGATCTTTTCTATGTTTTCTCTTTTCATTCTTTTTAAATATTGATGATCACCCATATGCTTGTTCTCATAATCCACTACTGGGTCACAACCTGCAAAAATGCCAGGCAGTATTGATGATCCAAAGGGATTTCTTTCCCAATTTCCAGCTGAAAGATATGAGAGGATGGATAGTGTCACATGGCATCATTAAATTCCCTGCTGCAGAGGGACTTTCTTGCCTGTGCCTATACCAACACTTCAGCAGAAAACAGTGTCTTGGTGACACAGAGGTCACTCATTGTGTCACAAAGTACATACCTAATATGTACTGCCTCAGAAAGGGCATGAGGGACCTGTGCCCCCATGGAAATGGTTGTTGGCTTCTGAGTGTTTTCCTGGGTAAGTCACCATGACCCAGTGCCCTTTGAAAGAAGCCACACTGGTAGATGACTAAGATACATGAGGAACAAGAAGCCACGCCAAGCCCTGATTCAGCACCTGTGAGCCCTGCCGGTAAAAGCAAGCAAAACAACAACAGCATTCTGAGACACACTCCAGAATGCTAGCTGCCCAGAGGCCACTCACGGGTGCGAAAGTACTGCGGTAGCCACTGTGGTAGCTGAGAATGCCTCTATGTCAGTCACTCTACACCTCGTGCAGTTAAATCCAACAAGTTAGAAAGAATGGTCTCCTAAAGTTTGGGATTATTTTTAAATATTGATAGTCACAAAATCTCAATTTTAAAAACCCACAATATGAACAAAATGCTCTATAATTCTGAGCAAAGGTGTGCACCCAGCCAGGGCTCCAGCTAGAAGTTTCTGTGCAGGCAGTGATCCTTATCCCGAGCCTCTGGAAACCTTCATTCATTGGCTCAGCAGTTATTAACCCAACACCTAGCCTGCTCAGTGCACCACATTATGCTCAGGAAAGATTCACGTCCTCCGTATCCATGGAGTGTAAGGTCTAGAGAGGAGACGGACACTAATCTAGAAGTCACACAAATAAGTGACAAATGTAAAGTCCAACTGTGGTGCGTGCTATGGAGGAAAAGATGCAATGAGAGTGTAGGGTGGGGGCGCTGATCCAGTCTCGGGGCCAGTCTAAGGAAGGGACATCTGAGCTGAGATCCAGGGCTGGGAAGGTGTTAAGCAGAGCAGGTGGTGGGCAGTGTCCTGGGCAGAAGGACCAGCACGCACAAAAGCCGTGGGCCTGAACACCAGAGGAACTAAAAGGAAGATCTGATGTGCATTTCGCCCATGTCAGTACTGCAATTATTTCACTCTCTCTCTCCCTCACTTTCTCTGTCTTTGTCAAGGATTTTGGACTTTGTCCACAGAACAATGGAAAGCTATAGTAACAGCCTTTTGCAAAGAAGCTTCTTCTCCCAGCCACCTCTACAAGCACCCTGAGCCAGCAGAGAAGGACACTGGCTACAAAGGAGGAGCAGGGAGAGTGAGATGGACAGAGAAGGGGCCTGAGGAGGTGGCTCCTGTCATGGCAGAGCCCAGAGATCATGGAGCAGAAGCCCTAAGGACCAGTTGGAGCATGTGAGATCCACATCCCAGACCGTCCGACACCTAGGATGGACTTGCTGGCTGCTCACCAGAGCTGGGTGACAGACCACACCTAGTAAAGAAGAGAAAAGTCCCCAGCAAGCTGGCTAAGTAAAAAAATGTCCTGCTGAGCCGTCTTCCTCCTGTGAGCACTCACATCCTGGCCCTAGAGAGCTGTGGGTAGGCCTGATACATGTTCCACTGGAGCCTGAGAAAAGGGCCATCCTCCCCTCCCTCAGCAGGGCTGTTGCTCCCAAGTCCTCAGAGACAAAGGAAGAGAAACATGTAAAGAAGCCTCTGTGCCAGGTAGCTCAGTTGATTGCAGCATTGTCCCTGTATACCAAGGCTGTGGGTTTGATCCCCGGTCAGGGCATGTGCAAGAATCAACCAATGAATGCATAACTAAAGTGCAATGACAAATTGATGTCTCTCTCTCCCTCCCTCTCTCTAAAATCAATTTAAAAAATTTTAAAGAAGCCTCTATTTTTTATTGATTTTGTTGTTGCTGATAGTTGATCTAGGTTCCTAAGGATTTTGGGGCAAGGTAGTCTGCTAAAAAGAAGATTGACAGCCTTACTCAGAGTGTTTGAAATTCAAACTCAACTCTGGGCTCAGATGTGAGTGGCTCCCAGAGGTATGGCTAGCACAGCCGCTCCAATGACCCTCTTCTGGGGACAGGTGGGTGGCTCTCGTTTTCGCTGATTCAGACTCTGCACCCACCCTTCCAGGCCCCTCAGGGAGGCTGCTGCCTTCTCCTGACACCCGGAATGGTGGGAGGCGTGTGCACTGTGTGGAACATAAACCCTCAGAGTGCCTTGAGAAAAACAGGTCAAAAGACACATTTCACAGAGAAAGCGAGTAGCTGTCTGCTCAGGATGAGAGGAGTGAAAAAAGTGTTGGCCTTTTTCTGGCAGCTGATTGCCTTTTGTGATTATTTGTGTCATTTGATTTGCTCAGAGACACTCGCCTAAGCACTACCTCCAATTCCCTCCCAAATACCCAGGTGGACTCCTGATAATGTTTGGGTTGAGATCTTCCACGGAACTTTAATGGGGCAGCTTATTCTGAGAGCTTGAACAACATAACCCCACTGGGAACCGGGAAGCACTGACAGCAGGATGGGAGGATGAGGACGGGGGAAGAGAAAGGCGGACTAGTTCCCAAATCCCACCAAGCACCAGCAGCACCTGGAATACAGGGTAAAAACACTGGTCACCAGGCCCCATCACTGGAGTCTCATTTAGCGGGTCTGGAGAGGGGCCCAGGTGTTTGTATTTTTATCAAACATCCCAAGGCCATTCAAAGGCTGCCCACTTGCATTTGAGAATCTCTGAGTTCCCATGTTCTCCTTTAAATGTCCTGAGAGGTGGCCTTTTACCTGAAAGAGCAGAGGGCCAGGCTCCTACCTGCTGTTGGTCCTGTGATCTTGGTCAAGTCATACAGCTTTTCTGAGTCCCAATTTTCCCACTAATTTTTTAAAAGGGGAGGGTAGTATAATACCTAATTCATAGAGTTCTGTGGAGGGTTAAATGAGATTCAGTGACTTGAAAGTACCTGTTCATTATACAATGTATCCTTCCTGTCCCTGTCTCCCTGTATCACTCCCAAAACCTCCCCATCACCTCACGATGGCGCTACCGAAGCCAACTCTCTAAATCACAGAAATTCTGGGGAGCTGTGTCAAACACCCTGAAAGCTAATAAAAACCTTCATGCTCTAACTCTAGCTGACATGTTCCAGCGCTCTGTTTCCCAGGCTCCACATCAACAAGCCCAGAACCAAAGTTTTTTTCCCACTAAGGCAACAAAGGCACAATCGAGTTAAAATAGCAATTCTCTCTCCTCCAGCCTCTTCCCTGCCTGCCTTCCCCCCCACGTCCACCTCCAACTCCTTTTCAAATGTCCCAGCACAGAAACACTGACTCTTCTCAAACATCCGACCTCACAGAAGCATCCACACAGTCCCCAGTTTCCCAACACCTGACTTGACAACAACTATGAATTCAAATGGCAGCCTGGCCACTATTTACCTTTCTGCTGACACAGCTCTTCACCACCCCTCACTCCAGATCTGCCAGGGCAGCCCCAGTACCCGGAGACCCAGGGCTCTAGGGAATTCTCCTGCCCAGCCCTGCCACTGAAGCTGTGTTTCAAATAGGGTAACACATGCAGACACTGCCTGGGATGTGCAAAGTGTGGGCATCAATGATGCATAAGGCCCAGCTCTGCAGGAGCACACCTCCCCTCTGCCTGCTCCTAATGTATCTCCTCCAACACCTGCTATGACAGAGCCCAGGCACAAGGTCAGGTTAGGTGCTGGGGAGACAAAGGGCGGTGCCCTAACAGGCTACCTCTAGAATTAACAATATAATTTCCCATGGTTTACAACTTCTGCAGTAATCGTAACAATAACAACATATGTTATTCTAGAGCACCTACTGTGGGCCATGCACCGTCCAAAGCACCTTAAACATACTAATTCATTTTGTGCTCACAGTTCTCAGAAGCAATCCACACTTCTTTATGAGGAAATTGAGGCACAGGGGAGTTAAGTCACCTACCTATGGTTACATGATAGAAGCTGGGGAAACCAGGCTGCAAACCCAAGTCCATCTGTGTTTTTAAAAGAGTGCTTTAGCCATGAAGGTTCTCAGACTTCAGAGGGCAGCAGAATCGCCTGGCAGTCTTCAGGAAATACAAGTTTCTGATTCAACAAGTCTGGGGTGGAGCCCTAGGAGGCATTCCTAACCAGTTACCAGGAGATGCTGATGCTGGTCCAGGGACCCTACTTCGAGAATCACTCACCTTGAGGACTTAACCCTAGACTGCATGTTTGTACCACCTGAAAAGTTTTTATTACTATCAACATCTAGACCCCTCATCCCAGATTCTGAGTTTTCAAGTAACAGCTTTACTGAGATATAATTCACATACCATAAGGTTTACCCTTTTGTATTGTCCACTTCAGTAGTGTTTGTTATAATTCACAGTTTAAACATTCATCAAAAAAGCATTTTCACCACCCCAAAGTACTGTCCTGTAGCCAATGGCCATTACTCTG